ACATACTCGTACTTACTATACATCCTTAAATAAAAAAATGTGTGTAAAATGTCTGGAATTTGTTTGCAACGCGGCAAGGAATTTATTTCGTCATTAATATTAAATGTAAAATTTGAAACAGGTGGCAACCCTTTCGAAAATTTATTTGATTTAAATATTCTTTAGCTTTATTAACTAAATGTATGTATATAAATTATGTTTTTCAGCAATATCATGAAAGAAATTTTTTTAAACAGGTGGCAACGCTTTCCAAATTTTTTGTTTTTTTAAATTAGAAAACCTCAAAGGTTTTGATAAATTTTCTTTCAATACATATTTTTTTAATTATTCGACATTTTTATATAGGTGGCAACGCTTAAAAATTTAAAAAAATATAAATTAAAAAATTTATGTTCATTCCCTATTTTACTACACGGCAGCTAAATGCAATGTAAGCATAATTTAATATTTTGCAAAATTTTCATCTCACCTACGCCAAAACAGTTATGTCCGACAAAATTTTGGAAAACCAAATTGAGAAAATAAATATAAACAGCCGCAAGAGTTGATATAAAAACAAATTACAATATTGACAGCAAAGCGCTTAAACAAAGAGCAAAATATTTTCATGTTTACAGCGTAAATAGCAAATTTTGGCGTTTGGCTTGGCCTAAGTGTGTGTGTAAAGTAATAAATAATAGTCTGTGAAAGTCTGGTAAATGCTTTGCTGCCATCCAAACGTGTTAATGCAGTGCCCAGGCCGATGATGTATGTATAAGTATCAACATGCTTACACGTATATGTATGTATGTGCATGTGTGTATTTCATGTAATAATATGCGATATACTGCAATGCCTAAATTGTGTAATTTGGTAGGCCGAGCTGGTCGAAAATAAGCTGAAATTATTGCCAAATTATATTTTTGGAATTGTTTCACAGAAAAACCAACAAAAAAAAAAAACTGAAACAGAAAATAAATAATTGCCACAAATGGCTGAAAATGGAAAACAAGTGTATACACATGAATGCTTATATATATATATATATCTATATATATACGCGTATGTATGAATATATTCGTAGTGATTAGTGTTGTTTGTATTATGTATTTAATGTTATTTGATTGAAGACAATAACCATGAGCTGGAAGCGGCTGTTTTGGCTTATTAGTAAGCTTTTACCGTAAAACACTGATTAAGTTGTTTAAGCATTTGAGCGTTGAATATTGCTTCGACATGAATTACAAATGAGGTCGATAACTTTTTTTTTGTTAAAACTAATAAATACCTTTATGCAAGGTCAGCAAAGAAAGCATATAATACAAGGAGCAAGAAATGCTTTAATAAGAAGTGCTTAACTGCGCTAGCTGATGGGTTCATTTACCTGGCCTTGGAGGAAAAACAAATATTAATCAGATAAATAATGAAAACGTTGATAAGAAGGCAGTGAATATAACTTCAGAGTTTATTTACGAAATTAAAAAAACGAATCTTCCATAAATGTCTTTAACTGTACGGAAAACGGTTCTCTAAATTTTATGTGAAACTATTAAGGTGATGAATAGAAGATATCGACAACTGCAGAGTATATTTCTGACTTCACCCATTTTGGTAGAATTTTTTGTGCGACTTCAAATTGGTTCGATCATGGTTTTTATTCTGTGATGATGGCCTTGTTTATTTAAAAAAAATCGTTTTGTTTTTGTAAAATATTCTCGTATTTTGTGCACAGTTAGCTTTTTTGCTCATATTAGCCGAGAAACATCTTTCCCGTCCGGAAAGTAGACTTAACACTAACTAAATTTCTTGATTAATGAATTTCAATTTTAATACGTTTATGAGAGTAAACATTTATTCCGGAAAGTGAACCATCGACTGCCAGATTTGAAAAAAACGTATTAACCGTGCAATATAAAGTGTTTTCCAATAAGAGGAGCTTATAGCATACCATTCCGGTAGATGTCAGTTTCTAAGCTGTAATTTTTTGGCATGTGACAAGTAATACGTCTGAACTAATAGAGACCTTACCAATGCCTTGAGGACTGCAATAGAAAAATTGGTGGAAAAAACGGAGGTTTTGAGAAAAGTTAATGATGTCAAGATTGAAACATGTGTACATCGCTCAAGAACAACTAAGAATATTGGCTGCTGTTTTAGGCTAAAAGAAAACCTAAGGATTTTCAATTCCCTTCACTCCTTGAATTTGGGCATTCCACAAAAGTTATAGCACCGTATTTTCATAGACTTGGTTTTTAAGGCTAATCAACAGTTCGGTTAATGCAAGCACTCATCAAGAACGAAGTGTCTTTGCTGATTAAGAAATTTTATTGAGAAATCATCTAGACTGATGAGGTCTAATTCCATTTTAGAGGTTACGTCAATAAGCAAAACTGTCGCTTCTTTGGCTCGGCAAGCCCAAGATTTATTGTTCTTCTTCCATAAAGTGTAACTCTATGGTGCAGTTTTTTGTCCGGCAGGCTCATTGGACTCTACTTTTTCAAAAGTGAATGGATTATGCTATCGATTGATGATTAATAATTTGATCGAAACAGGACGGTATTGATCGGGTATAACTTACTTTCAAGAAGACGGAACTGCGTGACACACAAGCAACGAAACCATCGATCTTTTTAGGGAGAACTGCCGAGCAGTGCTATCTCCCGAAGAGTTGATATCAATTTTCTACCAAGATCTTGTGATTTATTTTGCAACTTCTAGCTTTCGATAAAGAAAATTTCATAAAAAGCATGTAGTCCTGGGCGGGTTTTTTGGCTGAAATTTTTTCCTTTTTAATGCCATGTCTTTGTTTTTACTTTGAAATAAACCTCCGATCATTCATCTCAAAAAGAGCCATTTTTTTTTGAATATCAGTATTTAAAACCCTCTCTTTTTTATCGCTTTGATGTGTTTGTTTTATGCAGGATTAAATGGAAGCTTAATATTATTTTAATCCTTAAGACAAAGTCGCTCAATTGAATTAATCTAAATAATTTCAAAAATTAGTAATTAAACTTAAATATTGACCGCTGTAAATACCTTTATATTTAGCCTCATACAAGAAAAAAAATTGTTATGTGTACGAAAATTTATAAATTTCGGATATTAAACGAAATAAACAGTTACACTCGAGCTAGACTAACAGAAATAACCTACGGCTACCTTAAACGAGTATGGAAAGTTGATAAATTTCTCATTGGTTAAACTAGTCGGCGAGGGAATAACCTATTTATCTAATTTGTCATTTGCCAAAAGTGATTTATAGCGGGCAGAAATCATTAATTAGTCCTAAACTATAAGTGATTACCAAGTGGCCATATTAAAATTTAATGCTATCCGCTTGGGAGTTAGGATATCACTATTGTTGTTGTTGCTGCTATGCCATATGAGTAATTGGAAATGCATAGTTTATGACACTTTGAGGACAAAGATAAAGATATTTCTAAATTCCAATTTGCTTTTGTCTTACTTTGGCTTAATTAGACCTGACACCAACTGGGAAATTTAGTTATTAATTTTTTTAGAATAAAAATTAATTGATGAGCATTTCAATTATGTTAAAATATTTTTTAATTTTATTTTATAATGTTTTACTTCAACGTAATAATTATAATCTTTTATTTTATTTGCATATTTAAAATATAATTTTAATTTATTTTTCTATTCAATTTTATTCTAAATTTATTTTATATTATTTTTAAGGTTTTTTTTATTAATATAAATTAATTTTTTTTGTTTTATGTTTTGGATATTATTTTGTGCTACTTATTTTTATATTCTATTCTTTTGTTTTCGCTTAATATTTTTTTTGTTTTGAATTTAATATACTTAATTTTATTTTAATTTTTATTTTTTTATTTTATTTAATCTTATTTAATTTTGTTTAATATAAGTTTATATTATTTATTTTATAAGATTTTTGAATTTGATTTTTTATTTAATTTAATCTAGTTTAATTTTATTTGAAACCATTAATGTTATATTTTTCATTTGAAATTATGTTATTTGTTTTTATTTTAATCATTTCATTTTGTTTTACTTTTTTATTTTAATTTACTTAAATTTTTTTTCATGTTGTTTATTGTTGTATTTAATCTATTTTAATTTAATTTAATTTTTTTCATTTTCTTTGATGTCATTTTATTTTATTTTAGCTTAGCTCATTTAATGTTATTTCATTTATTCATTCTTTTTGATTTTAGTTTGGCTTAATATAATACAGTACTAGGTTATTTCATTATTATTTTTTGTTTATTTTATACATTTTTTTTATTTCATTTTATTTTATTTTATTTTAATTCATGTATACCCATTACTGGATTATTTTTTATTTTGGATTTTTATTTTACATAATTCAATATTATTTTATTTTGGCCTTTCTTGTTTTCGATTTTACTTTATTATATTTAATGTTATCAATTTTTTTTATTTTACTATATTTTATTTGGATCTATATCATTTTATTTTATTTTAATGTTACTGATTTTTTAATTTTATTAAATTTTTTTTTAATTTTTCATAAATTTTTAGCTTATATGTGTTATTTAATTTGTTTAATTTTTTATTTTAATTTATGTAATCTAATTTCGTTTTATATTATTTTATTTTATACTATTTAAATGTATTTAACTTTATTTATTTTAATTTTAATATATTATATTAATTTTTTTATTTTACATAAGTTAATATTGATTTTCTATTGAATTTTCTTGTTTTATTTTATCGTAATTGATAAAAGTTTTTTATATTTAATGTTATAAATTTTTTTATTTTGCTCTATTTGATTGTTAAATAAAATAAATAATTTAAATTTTTACTTAATATTAATTTGTTTAAAGTTATGAAATTTTATTTGAATTTTTTTCATTAAATTTTTTTTATTTGTTTGTTTTTCAATTAATTTTAAAATAATTTTGATTAAATTAGCTAGGTTAATCGCTGCCATTATTTTTTTTAAATGTCAAATTCAATATTTATTCTGTCTTTCACATTTCTTCTTATTTCTCTCATTTTCAGAATAAAAGCCTTGGGTGACAGTAAAAGAAATATTTCTTAGTGGACTACTCGGGTCCCAACTCTTAACATTATTCTGTAAGTATGTATATAATTTCATTATTAATCACCATTAAGTGAATAAGAGTATACAAAGTTAATGGCAACACTTTTTTGTTTCTACTTAATAATCACTAAAGCTTTTGCACCGATTACTTCTATAAAATTAAGACAACATAGAAGAAGGGAAAAATGGCTTAAATATTTATTTAGTCACAGCAAGCAACAAAAAAGCGAATAAATATTTTGTCCAAATATTTCTCAACACATTTTTGACCTCACAAGGTTATCTACGTACCCATCAATTAAATACTTGATTAGCCTACCAAAAGTCAAGCCTAATTAATAATAGGTACCGCTGTGTGTGATCTCTCTTTCTCTCTTTTTTGCTTGCTCCTAGTCTCTCTCTATAAAATATTCTTGTAATTGCTGAGCTGTCATTTGCCATTTATGTTTGTCACAAGTCTTAAGTGAACACACGACAAAAAAACAAAAGTGAAAAAAATACAAAGAAAATATTTGCAGACATTCATTATCCTTACACGACAGGACAAACAGTAGAGTAAAGGAAAGCAAGTAGAAAATTAAGACAAAATACACTAAAAAAAAATAAAATAAATCACTGTGAAAAGAAACGAAAAAGTGAAAAGGCCATTAAAAATAGAGCAGGCATAAAATTACAGAACAAGAAAGAGAGAAGAATTTAAATGCAGAATTAAAAAGTAGAAAAAAAGTATACACAAGACAGGGATTTGTAAGTCGGCGCTTTTTGATGTTTACTTTTTGGTTTGGATTTTTTTTTTCAATTACTTTGCCTAGCTTCTCGAGCGTTTGAAGTGATGTATTGCCTAAGACGATTAGACGACATTCCATTTGCATTGTTCGAGGAATTCATTAGAACTGCGGCGCTTTGCCGTTAAACTGCAATGAGTAGAGCGGAGAGTCGCCGTGCCGCTGCGGGCGATCATAAGCGGTTTTGCATGAGCTCGCAGATGTGAGTTCAATCGGCATTTACTGAGGCTGCTACTTCAATATATTTTTTTTTAGAGAGGTATTTAAATTTAGTTTACAAAGATGGACTTCCAAAGACATTTCATATTTAAGTTTAAAAGGGGTATTTCATGAAGAATTCGGTCAAGAGGTGAAGGATTAAGCATAAAGTGATATGGATATGAGTTGGTTTGGGAGAAAATAATCGTACGAAAACACAGAAAAAGCAGAATTTTTTATGAGTATATTGGACTCTGAAGCCAGTGCCTTCAACTATACGGACTCCCAACTGCACCTATTTAAGTATAAAATATCTTCTTAAATAACCTATCAGCCGTTTGGAAGCAGCTAAAATTGTATGTACCCGCATGTGCTAGAAAGACAAGGCGCACATCACAAGTTGAATTAGGAGCTCTTTAGGAAATCCCTTAACGGTCATAAGCCAATCATTGGACAAAATTTCTTATACAACGTCAGATACAGCAGTAATCTGGCGGGTTTTAGTTATAAGAAATCTGGGCATCGACGACATTCTATGTGAAGCCATTTGTTTGTGATTTCAAGCTGAAATTGTAAGGAGGAGATGAGAGCGTCAAGGGCGGTATTTAATGGAAAAGGTAAAGATGCGCTTAATCAGATTTGGGTAAAGCTCCTACTTTTAAGCCTGGTTGTTTTATAAATTCTTTCACGAACAAAAGGTTTCGACTTAAAATAATTAGTCTTTTGAGGCATCTGAACTTTAAGTTCTTATCTATCTTTGCCCCACAAAGCATATTATAGCTACTGAATTAAACCAAGTTTAAGCTGAGTTTAGGTCAATCAATATACCGAGATCCCTTTACTGTAAGGCTCTTCTTGTAATGTCATTTATATCGTTGATTGTCGCTAGGGAAATTCAAGATTCGTTTTCCAAAAAAAGAAAAAAAATTCAGTTGAGTGGATTTCTCTTCGACTCTATTCAACTTAATCTCTTCCTTACTTGTTGTTATATCCTTTTTTGCTGCTTTTTGTATTCCATCGGCATTATGCTTTGCCATGTCCATCACACAAACGCGTCACTTCAAACTGCCTTCGCGGGTCAAGTACGCGGATGGTGAGGTCAGGCTGAAGATTAAGTTGCAGGTTGAAAAGATGTTGCAAAGCTAATATACTTCTTGTATATGTATGTAAATGTGTGTATGGAAAACTAGCCAGTTAACGCAGTACCTATTTTTAGTCAGGTGCCGAGCCCAAGGCACATTTCATGCTCCACCTCATCTGTCAGCGCTGTTTGCTACATTTCCGAGAGCTGGTTATTGTTTTAGTGTTTTTTCTAGGCAGGTGAGCATTGAATGCATTCAGTCTTTTTTGATTGTATGCTATAATTTACCTTCACATTGTCATATGTTTTATGGCTCTTTATTTTCTCATACTTTTATTATAAAATCAACCGTTGACATATTTAGGCTTTGAGCATTTGACAGCTAAAACAGTGTCAGCTGTCAGCTGTTCTGTATGGAAAGAGGAAAAAAATGGAGGAAATAGAATGTCGCAAAAAACATTAGGTAAAGAGTTTTTCGGCTTTTATTTTGACGGTTTCAAGTGGCTGTGCGTTGTAGGGTGTTGTGGCTTGCAAAAATGAAAAGAAACGAAAAAGGCAGAAAATCAGAATGTCACGTACAAGCTGTTGATGATGACGACGCATAGTATGAGAGCTTATGCTACGGGTTATGCTTTGCTGAGGTTAAACTTTTAAGAGAAAAAGAGAGAGAGAGAGAGAGAGAGAGAGAGACTGAAGAAACGTGAAATATTTTTCTTTCAATAGGTCTCTTAAGAAATGTATGATCGAACTCAAAATGTAATGTATGTATGTAAAAATTTCTTCTCAGATTCAGTTAAAATTTCTTCAGGAGAGCTCCAGTGCCACTTTTGGAGCAGATTCTTCTTTGCTATTTATAAATGTTATTTCTTCTGAGATTAAACTTTTTTCAATTTTACACTTCGCAAATAAAGGTGCTTTGCTATGAACGGACCTTAACAGCATGATTGAATGGGGTAAAATAAATCGTACCCTTTTAAGTAAGTCTTAAAAAAATACAATGTGTTTCTTCCAAAAAGCCGAACAGAAAGATATATAGATAAATAATATACACATAACAGAGAAATAGATTTTGGAACAGCTTCACCGTGTTACTCTATGGATCCTAACATGAATTTGTCACTTCGTTTTAGTGTGTCAACGGAATTTCAAAGACCTTCTCGCTTCCCAAAAGTTTGTATACAACACATGTAAATATGGCCTATTCTGGAATATAAATTGCTGTCTTGGAACATGAGGTATCAACCCTAGTCTGATAGCATAGAAACCATTCAGGAACAATTTTTTCTTTTTTCCTTGAGAAATTTTTATTGGTATTATATTCTATGGCCTTTTATGGTTTTTCAAAGAATTAAATTGAATATTCCATGTAGAATTTCTACTCTCCGATTTAAGAACTTGTAAAACGAGTTTTGTATTTTTGGCTTCAACTCTCATTCTAGCACAGTAGACTTATCTGACTCTTTCACATTATTGAAACAGTTTGTATATTAAAATTAAATTTTTTAAATCAACTTATTTATTTTAATTCGTAACTCGGTATTAGTAAAAAACGAAATTCCGTACTTGCGGATGAGCGGCTGGTAGGTAAGCCGTTGGGAATAATAATAAAAACAGCTTCTGCCCTGACATATATATGATTTAAAATTTTTTTTGGAGTAACTTTTTTTATGCTCTTCCATCAATTTTTATTCGAGTAATAATATTCGCATAATGTTATAAATTTGTAAAAGTATGATATACATATAAGCAACCTTTCTTTTTTTTATCTAAGAGATGGCGTTATTGTCCATAGTATTGTACTAGTGTTACGTGTCGCATCGTGTCATAATATACGGCACTGAAAACGTGTTTATTTGCGCTAAAAGTTTGTCTTTGACAGTTTTTTGATTGATTGACTCAGTACGTTGTGGGCGCTCGTCAAAGATGGATACCAGCAAAATTTGACCATTTTTCTCCGACCAAGCGAAAAACAGCTAAAGCGGCTGAAAAAATTAATTTTGTTGATAGAGCCGATATTGTAAACGAATGAGTAGCACAAATGTGGTTTGCTACTTTCCGTTCTGGTAATTTAAATGTCAAAGATGCAACAGGTTTTGCTGTGTGTTTGGTGGGATTGGCAAGGAATCATTTACTACGAGCTGCTCCTCTGTGGCCGAACGCTCAGTTCGGCCCTCTACTGCCAACAACTAGACCGCTTGAAAGCAGCACTCATCCAGAAGAGGCCATCTTTGATCAACAGAGGCCGAATTGTGTTCCATCAGGACAACGCACATGTACACAAAGTTATCATATTTTGAAAAATCAATTAAAAAACCGAACGAAATTTGTGATAATAAAAATAATAATAATATAATAAATTTTTGGAAAGAATATCATATACATATATGAGATCTATATTATTATTGTCTTGTTCACATAGATAAATAAATTGTACACAGATATACTATTATTTTATATATTAATAACCGTTTTTTGGATCCGGTTTTTCAGATTTGAGATTTTGAGTTATAAATCAAATACAAAAAAAAACATTGACGCTGAATACAAACAACATCAGTGGACGACGTCATATGGTGCGTTTCAGAATCATGAAACGCCAGCTTCTTTTTGAATTTTGAGAAAATGCTGTTTGTAATAAAATAAATGGACTGCAATAAAAATTGCGACTTTACATGTTTTATTACTCATAAATAACCAGCAAATTTTCCACTGGCTGTTGCAAGGCAAACTAATCTTTTTTTCAGCATCCAAATCAATCTTCTCAGTAGACTGTTAGACTTTTTTGCAATAATTGCAGCTCATATGCATTGCTATATGAACCACATAGATTCTCTATGTGATTTAAGTCCGCCGTGCAGGCTGGCCTGTCCACGGTTTCCATAGCATCATCAGGCCAAAATGGACTCAGCCCTGAATAAAGGAAGGGGCTGTTTTCCAAAACTTGAATGTAGTCCCTGCTATAGATTCT